AGCCGTTGCCGCCTGTCGCAGAGGCGGAATAGGGGCCGTATGCGCAGATCATGTAGTCGATGGTCGCCATGTAGATGGCGTAGTTGGCAATACCAATCAGAGCAGAGCCGAACATGGAGCCGATCCAGTGCACCGGCGGGCCACCGGTCGTGGCTGCGAAGAGAGCAATGCCAATGGGCAGGCAAGGGGCGAGCCAGAGCAGTAGATCCATCCGGCCCTCGTATTGAGCATGTTCGTCCATGGGATTCTTGTGGCGTTGATGGGCATTGCGCTTGATGGCGGGAATAAATAGCGCCCAGGCAATGAAGTATCCGACTAGAATTGGCAGGAAAGATAGACCAATGGTGACGGCGTCGAATCCCCACTGATCGTAGACCAGAGAGAAGGATTGAATCTGCATGAAGATCAGGGCATCCGAGAAACCAGAGAGCAGAGACAAAACCATGACGATGGGCTCAGTCAGGAACATGCGGAATGGTCGTAGCATCGTCCATCCAATCTCCTTCCAGCTGATGCGCTCGCTCCAAGGGGTCATCTCGCCCGGCCCGTAGACATTGGGGCTGATGCCTTGCTTTCTGCGCTTCTTCGCAATGCGGTCCATCAAGACCGTTGTACGCGTCTCGGGGACGAGGAAGAAGTGTAGGATCTGCGTGAAACCGCTGAAGATGAGCTGGATCCAAATCGTCCAGCGCCATGCAAGGAACTTCTCAACGAACCCTCCAACGATAGGTCCGAGCACCGAGCCTCCAACGGAAGAGAAGACAACGTATGCGACACCGACAGCCTGAGAATCCACGTCGAACATGTCCGCGATCATGGCAAGCGTAACACTACCTCCAGCAGTGCTAATACCTCCCAGAGCACGTCCAACAATAATTGTTGCGAAGTTGGGCGCAATGCCGACCGGGATACACCAAATGTTCACCAGGGTCAAACTCGCCTGGAGGACAATCCATCTTCCAAATTCCTCACTCCAAGGAGCCCACAGCTCGCAGCCGAATGCATAGGTGATGAGGAAAGTCGCAGCGCCCCAACGTGCGTCTTGCAGGGACACGCCAAACTCGTCCGAGATTCCCTGGATGCCGTTTGAGTAAAGCGAGGTGTTGAAGTTCATCGATGTCTGGACCAGGACGACGATAGTCAAGATCATCCACTTCTTCCATGTGGGAAAGGCATATCCAAGCTCGTCCTCACAATCCTCCTCCAACAGCTCGATGCGATCGTCGTGAGGAGGTTCTTTTCCTGCCGTGTTGGGCGTCGTCTGCCCGGTCCCAAAATGTCTCTCATCGGGGAGAAAATGAGGATGGCCATTTTGCGTCACTGATGAAGGGTTTCTAGAGTGACCTTGCTGAACCTGTGGCTTCTCGGCCTCCGGGGCCAACGAATTCGTGGGGTTGGCCACCCGTGTTCCAGGGCTTATTGCCTCCTCGGCAGGCATCTTGTCAGATCTTTTTGCTGACTGATACAGATGATCGCTCTCTGTGGAAAAAATGTTCCTCCTTAGATCAATTGTCGAAAGATATGTGGGATGGAGATGTAGAAATACTCAGGATCCGGTTATAATAACGTTATCCTGGCCTCCATATATAACCGCTGCGGAGAGGGTTACTAGAGATGGGTTGGAGAAACACGAGGAGATGGGGAGACAGCAACCGGAGAAAGGGGGCAACCCCGGGGCTGGGGAAGGCAAAGGAGGTCAACACTTTTTAAACCTCGCGCTGGAGACGGTGGGAACCAGCGGATGGGCCAAAGTCAAATGACACGAGAAACTTGATTTTTCTCAGGGTCCCTTTTCTTCGCCTCACTTGAAGGGGACACTAGACCTGAACCCTTCCTTCCTCACCTTGAAGGTGCCACAATTTCCTCTCATGGCTCGTCATGGCAGCTACCTTGCGGCTGCTTACCCGAGGCACGCAGACAAGAGTAGAAAATTGACAGTTCCAAAGTGGGCTATGACGTTGGAAAACACCAGCGAGAAATCGTGCGAATCGTGCACGCCCAATGGCAGCAGAGATTTTGTTGATCTCGGTATAGACTCGGACAGCTGCTCCATCACATTTCACTAGATCAGTTGATGGGGAATTTTTGCTGGAGACGGGAACACGATGGGACCTAACGCACACCACACATAGCTGCTTCCGGTTGCCGGGACAGGGCTCACACTGCATTGAGCGGCCGGTAGTGTATTTGATCCTCCTCGTAGGTATGGGCTTGATTCACGAAGGAGCCTAGAAGGCGTGGAAGCTGACACTTGCACGACGGACCCGCCGGACTTGGGAAGCTCACTTCCCTCCCCTCTCGCACTGAGGTGGCGGTCTGGCCTGCTGGATGGCTGGATGGACGCTTGGAATGGCGAGGCAAGATAAAAAAGCGGCTCTTTTTTCAGCGGAGACTACTGCACAGTACTGCTCAGCGGATCGATAAGAGTCTCAATGATGTCACGGTCAGGTTCAGTGGACCCTTTCGCGAGTCATATTCGGGCCGCCCGATAAGGCACAGCGGTCGCTGTCCGACTCGAATTGCAAGGCAATTTGGAATGTTCGCGTCGCGATATGCTTCTTATTGCAACTGAGATCAAGCGGCCTCGATGCTGAAAAGCCAAGAAGAAGGCCCTTGCTCACAGGCGTAGGCGCAGGGGAGCGAATGCTTGAAGTCTCCCGAGGAGCCGAGGAATGTACCCGGTGGTCACTCACGGACGGGAGAGGCTTCAAGGTTTTTGTTTGCGGCGAAAAATAAGCGTTTGCCCAGAGAGTCTTAGTGACTCGCGGAAGACAGGCACCATGCAATCCCGCGTCATTGCCGAAGAGAGGAGCCCCGTTCTGCAAGCTGGGCACATCCTGGTCAGCAAAAGCAGCCACAACACCAATACCACAGCACCTCGAGAGCACATACCTTGGCCTGGTCAAAATCGACGATCGTGAACAGATCTGGATTCTGGATGGATACACACAGCTGCTTCCGCATATCGGCGGCACATTACGCTAGTTCGCTTGGTAATATTTGATACCCGCGTGATCATATCCGCTCATATCTCGCCAATTACAGCCCCGATCACCCGCGGTCTTGTATGTATCTCCATTAAAATCAACTATCTCACAATGGGGTTCGATCGTCTAACAGGACGAGGCTTCGCTATGCTATCGTGGATCAGATTCGATCTATTGATCTCTGCTCTTCTCCGGTCACCTTTCAAATGTGTCGTCGAAGTATGATCCGTGCCATTCAATTTCAAAACGCCGCGGGATCCTTACTCTGTCGGATCCGCAGTCTACAATGTGTCCAACCCAAGGTATCAATATGCAATCACAACCTACATAATAACCTGCAAGTAATCTGTTAGCAGAGCTTCTCCCATCAAGGTGTTTGTTATTCGAGTACTTACGCAGTCGTCATCGTTCTTCCCCTGGGGGATGCCCATCTCCTCGAAGGTCGAAGGCCCTTGACCCATCGTTTTGCCATCGGGGTGCGCTTCCTGTTTCTTGCCATGCCGGCCGGGCCCACCGTGTGCGGCTGTGGTGCTTGCCGTGCTCGGAGCCGGGCTATTGACCTGTGGAGTGGGTCTGCCTTGTGTCGGCGGTGCGCTTGAGCGACCAGCGTCTCCGTAATCCATAGGCCGGTCTTTCAGGGGCACGCCTGGACGACCGCCGCTGGGCAGACGGCTGTGAGCGGCAGCAGCAGGGAGCGAGTCCAATCTTTCCGGTCGGCCAGACGGGGCTGCCGTGCTCGGACGAGGGTTCGATGGGAGCGGTGCTGTACCGTACCGGTCATATGCGTCGGAGACAGGTCTTGAAGACACACGCGGGCCGTAATCTCGTCCTGGTTGAGCTCCCGCCTGAGATGGTAGAGAAACTGTTGACGACGGTGCAGCGTATCCAGTCATGGGGAACTGACCTGGAGGAGCCGCTGGCTTTACGGGGTTTGGATTGTTCTTGGTCAAACGGTTCCTGGTTGGGTCACCGACCGGACCGCTGCTTGTCCCAACACCGGCAGCTGCGGCAGCCCCAACGGGCAGCCGTGGACCCGCATCATATGGTTGCTGTTGAGGCTGCCTCTGAGGACTGGTTTGCCTGTAAGGATAATCTTGTCTGGATGGACCAGGGCTAGGTTGGCGGTAGCCTGCCGGAACCTGCGGCTCCCAGCCTGCTGATGCTATGCGACCACGCGGCGGTTGTTGGCCTGCTGGTACATGTGGTGATAGTGAAGAAGCAGACTGCGATGCTCTGACTCCGCCACCTGGAACGTCCGTAGGGCCACCCCGACCACTGCTTAGAGGTCGCACGCCAAACGCGCTCATCGGACGATCAGCTGCAGGGCCGGCACCCGCAGAGGGTCGGATCGTTGGGTTGTAGTGTGGAGATAGTGGTGGCTTTTGACCACCGACGACATCGTCATCAGGGTACGGCGCAGCGGACCTCGGTCTCATGAGGTTGAGCGGAGGTGGTCGGTCATCCTCGGGGTAAGGTGCAGCGGACTTCGGCCGCATCGCAAGGTTGTTATGGTCGAGGTTTACAGTGAAAGCTGGTGGTCGGCTTCCGTATGCGGGATCTGGGAAGTCGACATGATCTTCCACAATGGTTGGCTGGTGCCTTGGCGATGGATGGGGTGAGCCCCTTGGACTGTGTCTCGGTAAGGGCGGCGGAGCATTGTCAATGGGTGTTCCTGGAGTGGACTCCACGAGTGTGGGCATTTGCTGTGGTTGTTTGAATCGGTCAGGTCGCTTTCCTCTTTGCGAGCCGTGTTGCGATTTTATTCTTCCTAAAGCTGTTGTCTCATGGTCCTTCTTAGTGAGCGTCCTCTCCTGATCTAAGCTTTCTAGTCGACCGATAGCGTCCTTATTACCATGGTCTGCCGCCTTTTGATACCACGCCTTTGCCACTCGTACGTCCTTCTGAACGTGGATACCAATCTCATAATAGTATCCCATGGCAAACTCGCCGGTACCGAGCTTTGCGTCGGCAGCTTGTTGCGCGTACTTGAATGCCAACTGCTCATTCTTGTTGAAAACACCCTCATAGCCGAAGAGAAACCAGCGGCTGACGCCGAGCGCAGCTTCTGGCTGACCTTGACGAGCTGCTAGGCCGTAATAATGAAGCGAGTAGGCTGGGTTGAAGTCGCAACCCAGCTGGCATAGTTCGTAGGCTTGCCCCATCTTTAGTTGGGCTTTGGCGAAACCCAGATATGCGGCCTTCTCGATATACTGCCTGGCAGTGTTCAGGTTGTAAGGCAACATGCCTTCTGGAATGTTGATATCAGGTAGGTCTCGCGCGATGAGCATGCCAAAGACATACGCTCCTTGAGGCGCATCCTCGTCTGCAGCGTCGGCCGCCTTGTTGATCAGCTCCAGGCCTCGTTGAAAATCCTTCGGTTGACCGTGCTGGCCCAGGAGAGTCATCATGCCCAGGCGATATTGGGCCGCGGAGTCTCTCATCTTCTCACCTCCTTGATAGTGCTTGATGGCCTTGGCAAACTCATTCGAGTTCTCGTATAGCATACCGATTCTGTACTCTGCACGTCCCCAGCCTTGGTCAGCCGCGCGCTTGTATCCATCATACGCTGATCTCTTGTCTAGACGGTAGCCGAACTTCCCGAACTCTTGCCACTTTGCCTGCATAAAGAGCGCTTCCGGGTGGTTCTGCCTGGCAAGGTACTCGACAATGTTGGTAGCATCAACACGAAGCTCATGTTCGACCTTTGGTGTTTGTGGCCGGACCATTATACCATTGTTGTCTCGCATATGTGCTTCCGCCGCAATCTCTACGAAATTCAGCGCATCCCGTGCCCATGAGAGTTGCATGGACACATTGTTGGAGTGCAGCACATGCTGTCTTGCATTATACAGTATTTCTTCCTTCTCCTCATCACTAGGTGGTACATTGTCCCCCTTGACCTTGGGAAACGGAGAAAAGGTCGGCGCCTCGTTTGCGGAGGCCATGTTCTGGTAGGAGGACTGCTTGTCCTTGAATGGCGTAAAGTCTTGTCCTCCTTGTATGTTCGCGTCGGCGGCAGCGCCGGCTTTGCTCGATAGAACCGTCGACAGCGACGGCTCTCGTTCGTGTCGGCCGGGTTGGGTAGTTGTCGGGGAAGTTGTGCCGTAGACTGGCTTTCGTTCGATTTCGCGGGCTTCCAGTTCCATGCGTTGGAGGTCCTCTTGCATGTTCTGGGGCACCTCGGGCATTACCCTGCAGTAGCGCCCAACGCGGTCAGCTTTCTTCAGCTCCAAAAAGGTCCCGCAGTTCCTTGGCTGGCTGGAACTCGAAGCCTTGTGGTTCTGCAACGCCGCAAAAAGTGTGGAGAGTGTAGTAAATTAGAAATTGGGTGTACGCACCTCTGGGGGGAGGGGGCAATGACCTCGGGCATATAATAGTCATCAAAGCCTCCGGGCACGAAGGTGGCTCCCAGTTGCGGCATATCGTAGGAATCGTTTCTTTGTGGCTGGTCTGCATTAATACAACGAGAGTATGTCAGCGGGGAAATCGCCGTAGGTGCTGTAGTAGTCACAGCACCGAAAGGCGCAACTCTGATGGCCCGGAGCTCTTGTAAGACGGAGGTGGCGGGACGCCTGGATATAGGTAGTCGACGGGGGGATCGATGGAGGGGCTTGGAAGGTTCTAAGAGGATTGCGAGACGTTGTCTAAGCCGGGATGCGTCTGGTGGAACAGTGCCAGCCTTGTGAGATCCAGCTCCCAAGCTTCAACCGTGCAGGTGGGAAGAGTTGAATGAATGAAACGTCGTTCTTTCAGGTCAATACCCGGCCCCTTTTTTCCAGGGTGGAGGCCTTGAAACGGGAACTTGTCGTGTCAACGGCCTCCAGGGGACTGCACCTGCATTCGTAATGGGTAAGAGATCGCTCGGATTCGCTCCCCACTTCCAACGGCGGTCGGCTGCTGACAGACAGCGCTCTTTGGCTGGCCCAGTGCAGAGAGGCAAAACGCGTATTTCGGAGTGCTGCCAACTGCAATATACGAAGACCTTGTATCTTGCAAGTTGTTCTTGTGCCTTGGTAAAGACCCCTGACGTAGTAGTTCACTATTGCTTTGAAGAACCCAAGCCCCGGGCCGCGTATGTCGCAATTTCATTGTCCGTTGTCCCGCAGTGATATCCTTGTTCCCCGGTGAAGTCCTTTATTATGCCCCTCCAAGACCTGTAATCGCCGTCGCGCACCTCGTCTGTTTGCGGAGCTCAGGGCGCTGTCAAAGTTGCTACCAATTCACATGCACTGGAAACGCCGAATTACAGAGCTGGAAGGTACTCACCGGCTTGGGCATATGACTGGTATTGGGGGCCGCTTGTAGCACCACCGCTCCCAGCTGCCGGGATGTTGTCGGCTGCACCAGCATTGCCGCCGCCATGTGTCAGCCGCATATATGGAGGAGGGTTATAGGTCGCCATCATGTCTGTCTTTGGTGCGCGGGCGGCTGTTTGTATGCAGGTTCACTGCTAATAAATGCTGACGGAAGTCCTGCCGATCGAGTCGCGGGCACATATCCGAAGGGAGAGGAAAAATCGTAGGTTTCTTTATTTGAGGCCGGCAAGCTCAGGGTGTGCGACAGTGAAGATGATATGAAGAGCGGATCTGCCCGGAAGAGAAAGGGACAACAAATTACTAAAGGCGATCCTCCAAGTTAAGAATAATATGTTTGTAACGTTCAGTCTCCGTTTGCGCCAGGAGTGCGAAGGTTCGCAGCACGCCGAAGGATCGCGCGCGGGCAGTTCTTTTAGCAGGGTCGCACTCCAGATGATTTATTATTGAAATCATTCACCACCACCACCGGTGGGGGAGCGCAATCCTGGATTCCAGTGTGCTGCGAATAAGTCAGGAAGAGGAAGGGACGACGGCAGGGGCTGCGCTGTTGGCGCCTTCCTTTCCCTCGTGGCTATCTTGCTTGTCTTATTGTACCTGAAAGGAAGTTTATGTTGGATCTGGATTCGAGGCTGCCTGATCTGATGAAACGGGCAACCGCCAGCCCATGCAGAAATGTCATGCAAGGGAGAGACGGAAGGAACGAAGCGCAAGAAGCGCCGGTGATGCTCGTCGCGTGCTTGCTGTTGAAACTAAGGTAAAATATAGGTAGTGTGGCTCAAGATCAAGATCAGCCCAGCAGTCCTGCCAACCTCGAAAAGAGTCGCGAACCGTCTCGAAGATGCTGATAATGATATTTGCCAACTCAAAGGAAGACAGTTATGAAATCTTTCTCACGGTTTTAACACCAATACGGATGGCTTCACCGGCGCCTTTAAGGAGACAGGTCCTCACATGGACAGTCGCATCGCGAGTCGCTAAACTCCATACCAAATTGGCCTAAACAGTCTCATCCTCGACAGCATGCCGCGGTGGCCCCTCCTTTTTGCCCTCGGAACGGCTGCAAAAAAGCCTAACGAGACTGAATTACTGACAGCTCTAGATCCATTCCTGGGATAGCCTCGAGCCATCCCCTTGTAGCTCTCCTTCGAGCCATTCCAGCTGTGGGGGGACTATCCCAAGTTGCTTCGCTCAGCCACGATAGCTTGTTGCTATTTTCTGCTACATCCGCGCAGCCGCTGGAAATTGAAGGCTTGCCGCGCCGGCCTCCTTCTGCACTGGGGCTTGGCCTCTCTAAACCACCGCACTAGCAGCACTAAGCCGACAACAAATCTCAATGACTTTTATGGCACCTCAACTCTAATCTGGATTGACAGGTCCGTCTGTGGCACTTCTGGCGCATCGTATTGTCTGCGTGTATACGCTACAGCAGAGATGGAGGGTTGCGGGAAAAGAAAGGCCGCATCATGAGATGCAATGCTTACTTCTCTTGACTTGCCGTGGCCGGTCCTGACTTGACTTTGTGAATGGATTCGAGAAGTCGCCTGTAAGACAGCGGGACAAATAAGACACACAACGGGATCTACGGCATGGGTGGTGGTGCACATCATGAAGTCCAGCAAGTGGTCTCCTAGATTTTGGGCTGCGATGCCAAGGCCGCCGTCTACTGCCCAAAAGAAACGGAGCTACAGGAGGCTTGACACCATGAGCTTTAGCAGCGGGCAGAATGGCACACTTGGCTACGATAGAAGCACTCTGTCATTTCCACATTCTGTGGCAACTTGTCAAGCGCGTTCAGCTCCGGAGCTCAAATGCGTGATGTGGAATGGGGCCCCGAGACGAGGCATACCAGCCGAGGCAGAGTAGTAGTAACATCCACCTGGCAATCGCCGAGCTTTTCCAAAGCTCCATGAACGGATTGTTGTAGGTTCAGTATAATCAATGGAACCAATCCAGCTCCAGGGTAACTTGATGCCGGGGTTTGACAAGGATTCAAAGTCGTTTCAATGCTACTGTCCTCAAAGTGGAGGGTGCCTCAAGATGTCTTCCAGGAACGCAGTGTTTCACGTATAATACAGTGGCATGCAGGGGAGTAAACGGCAGCCTGCTGTTAGCAAGTCGTTGACCTAAGGTTAATACCTAGGGTGGGCTCTCCAGGCGGCTTAGGTAATCGCACGCACCTCAAAGCAACGGAGACCGGACATTGACTGGCCGATCCTCAGACCTGCCAGCCAGCTGCCATCAGCCTGCAGCCGTCATTCGTCAGCCTCACCCAGCCTGTTGCCCTTTGGTTGGTTTGGGACATCGAAGCTTTGAGACTACATAGCTCCTCCATCGACAACATCCTCAACCACCACAGAAAACAACACATCACACGAACCACTGACAAAGGCGAGCTCTGCAAGAGCAGAATAAAAGCGAACCCTACAAAAAGAAAACACCAAGTCATACCGAAGCCCATCGTCAAGGCCACACATCCATCCCCAAACCACCCACCATGGCCGACCGCCAACTCCAACAGATCCTCACCCAGCTCAAGTCCCAATCCGCCTCCCTCTCCTACCCGGACGCCGCCTCGCTGCTGTCCAAGGCCAAGCTGCTGCTGCTACAGCTCAACGCCCTGACGCCCAGCACCGCCGCCTCGCCGCAGCTGCTCGCCCTCGCGCGCGAGACCTACGAGCAGGGCGCCCTCTACTCCATCCGCGCCAAGAACCCCGACGCCTTCACCCGCTATGTCTCCCAGCTCAGCCCCTTCTACGAACTGCCCGCCGCCGTGCTGCCGCCCAACCTGCCCGAGCGCAACAAGGTCACCGGCCTGTACCTGCTGCTGCTGCTCACCCAGGGCCGCTACGCCGAGTTCCACTCTGAGCTCGAGGCCCTGAGCACGCGCGAGGGCGGTGGTGGTTCCGTTGATGTCGAGGGGGACCGGTTCCTCGGCTACCCGATCAGACTGGAGAGATGGTTGATGGAGGGCAGCTACGACCGCGTGTGGAAGAGCATGAAGAGCCGTGAGGTGCCGAGCGAGGAATACGCTGTCTTCTCAGAGGTATGATTATCATGCGTTCGAGATGTTCCACGGGCTTTCGAAATAGATCATTGCTTCGGGACCTACTTGCTAATTGGAACCAGATTCTAACCTCTCAAATCCGCTCTGAGATTGCGAGCAGCAGCGAGCGTGCCTATCCTTCCCTACCACTTTCCTCCACAAAGTCCCTCCTCTTCCTTGAGTCTGAGGGCGCCGTCATCGACTTTGCGCACAGCAGGGGCTGGATCGTCAAGGACGGCATGATCACTTTTCCCAAGGAGGCGGATGTGGCGGTGGATGAGAACGGTGCACCACAGGAGAAGGAGATGAGCCAGATGGTCATCGAGAACACGTTAGGGTACGCCCGCGAGCTAGAGACGATTGTCTAAGTTAGGATAGAAAACGCTGGTGGACAAGGGGTGAATATGATGGTCTGTCGACAGACTAATGGGCGAGAAGAATAAGTAGAGTTGTTGCATGCTGTCGTGTACGAATAATAGACGATAAATGGCAGACTGACGAGCTTCATCTACGGCGGCGTCGGTGTTGAGCCTGGCTTATAATATAGACTACTGCTCGCACACCTAACCGGATCGAGATGACACAATGCTGTCTTGATGCTTCTTTTTTTATTCTTGCCATGGGTGACTTGCTACCAACAAACAACATACTTGACATCATTCAAGACATGTCCGCCGATGACCCTCGAGCCGACATTTTGCCTCTCCCCAGCCATGACCGTACTTGTCTATGCATCCCCAGTTTCATTAAGCCCTACCAGTCTATCTACTGTCACGTTCGATCCCGTTTAAGCGAAGAGCTTTAAGCCACTGCCGTGCTTGCCAATTTCGCATACCTCGCAGACTGTGCAGACTGCGCCCTTGTACTTGGAGTGGTACTTGGAGCCGTCAAATGCACACTCCTCGAATGAGGTCCCGCTATAAATAGGGGTGTGGCTGGCTGCACAGACCTCGAATTCGGCGAATTGGTCAAACTCAATCTCAACCGTATCGTGAGGGTTGCGCTCGCACTGAGCCTTGGTCTTGCGTGCCTGGTAATATAATTAGTACAATGACGAAAAGGAAAATCAAGAAAATCAACTTACACTGTCGAGAATCTTGCTGGCCCCTCCATTCGCCAGTATTCTGTTGGCGAAGCTTAGGGCAGAGTTATAGTTCTTGCTTCGCATAGCTAGGTTCATCGCGTTAAGCAACGCGAGCTGGCGGTGGGGAACCTCGATCTTGGGAATGGTGAAGTATGCCGATAGTTCCAAGCTCCGCTTCTGCAGTTGAGGGTTCTTGGACACAACATCTGGCGCACCTAGCTTTCTTCGCTCTAGCTCAACCGCCATGGCCACGGTGTACTCGCTGGCAGAAGTGATTAGCTTCTTGGCTTCGGCCACCTCGCTGTCACTTGAGACAGCATTGACCAGTACAGCGTGGAGAATGCCCTTGAAAATCCTTAGGCCATCCTCCAGCTTATTGCCTTTCATGGCTTCATAACCACGCTGCAGATCGTTCGACGCGAGATATTCGAGGTCTCTGGGAATGATGGGCAGAACCTTTCTCGGGTCGGTCTCGTCGACAGTTCGGCGGACGTAATTGATTAAAGGAGGTAGACCGGCAGAAGCAGGCAGGTAGGTCTTTGTGGCCTGGTACACTTCAAGAAATCGGGGTTTGAGCGGTGCGAAATTCACTGCACCGACTTGCCTATTGAGGAGATTCATGGCCGTCTCGAAGGAGCCGCCGGCAACATGGTCGACCGCCAGTGGCGAATTACGGGCCCACAGGTCCGCTTCACTGCTGCCGGCACCGCCAGCATCAGTGCTCTCCACGTTCACGAAGTCACCTTCTACCTCGGGAACGATATCCTCGCCCATGTCCCAGCCTGCGGCATCTTCATCTTCATCAGCCTCTGCAAGGACTCCGTTGCGCTTAGCAGCACTGTCATCGGCAGCTTCCTCGAGATCGAATCCATTGGACGCTGCAGGCTCATCCTCTAGGGACAGCCCCTCGACCTGTCCAAGAAGAGCCTTCTCGAAGAAAGATTGCGATGTAGCCTTAGTGGGCCAATTCGCCTTGAACGTGGGGATAACAGGCCTTGGCGGCGTGAGTCCTTGTCCGATCTGGGGCAGAGTCAACTGGTCTTCCGTCAAACCTGTCGCCTCCAAAATGGATTGACACTCCTCCTCGAGGGCATTGGACTTGGCGGTCATATAAGCCAGCGGGTCTTATAACATGTTAGTATGTGTTAAATGGAAGTATTAGCGGTGACACTTACAGAGATCGATTTCCTTGAACATTTGTATCCTGTCCTCAACCTCGCCCAGATAGAGAGCGTTCTGGAACCGGGCAGTGAAGTCACCTCGGTGTTCAGCGATCTTGGCCATCCTTGCAAGCTTGGAGTGGTCACCAGTTGAGAGATACAAGAATGAGAGCTTGTCAAACTGCTTCAGTTTCTGGTAGCACATCTCGACAATTTGATGAGAGCCGTGAGCAAGCGCTTCAGTGCTCAGTCGAGACCATAGCGCAGGCTTGTCGAGCTGCTTAGCCATCTCGACTGCGACGTCTAGGTTGCCGCACTCGATAGCGAGGTCAAAGCGGGTAGTCGGATCTTGAACGAACTGCAGTGCGATCTCGGGGTAACCCTTCTTCTGGAGATAAGAGATGATAGACTGTCCCACCAAGCTCGAATTGCGAATAATGTGCAACATCTCCTCGTAGTTGCGCTTCACAAGTGCCAGCTTGAAGCGGTATTCTGTCGGGTCGATCTGAAGGATTCTGGGCTTGGCGGACCTGTCGAGACAATACACATTCCTGCCCTTGACTCGGACAAGATAGACGGTCTGATCTAGTGTGCGGACAATACCGTTGTCGCCGTTGAGAAGGGTGTATTTGACGTGGTTAAGGGTCGAATATAGCAGAACGCCAGCATCGTCCCACGTTGCGCTCTTGATACGAATCGTTTCGTGGAGGGTGCTGACTTGCTCGAGAGTCTTCGTCACAATGGTAACATTGTGCTTGCTCAGTAGAGCAGCATAGAGCCCGTCGTTAGACCATACAGCATACTTCACACCGTTGACTGCAAATTCTGCGATGCTCTTCTTCTGCTGAATATCGTAGAGGTGAACAGCGGTAGGGGTAATTATGAGCAGGTTGCCCGTGCCGCCGAAATAGATATCACTAGTGCCGACAGGAGGCTTGAACGACCGGGTGGTGTTGTTGGACAAATCCTTGATGTCGACAGTCTGGGTGGAGGTGTTCAATACGGCGAAGCGATTCCGTGCCACGAAGATGGCAGAGTTTCCTTGACCGCGCTTGGATTCCGTGGGCTCAATCGCTCCCGAACCATCCCGAGGGAGATTGATGAGCTCGTATGATCCGTTGTCCGCCGACGATGTCACAAGAACAGACCGTTCGGCAGGGTTGTAGGATAGAGTGCGAGGGGGAGTCCAGGCTGGTCCCACCTTCTTCAAAGACAAGAGGGTAGGGCTCTCGGTATTCTTCTGGAAGTCATAAGATCGCACATGCTTCTCCCGAGTGATGTAGAAGAGCTGGTTTTGATACACCGCTGAAGCCGGACGCTCGCGTTCTAGCTTGAAGACCATGACTCCGTTATCATGACCAGCCGCAAATAGGTTGATCTCGGGATGCGCAGCAATGACCCAAAACCTATCATTCTCTCTCTTGAAGGACTGAACAGCTGTGCGCTTGTTCAAATCCCATACGCGAATGGTCTTGTCTTCACCGCACGACAGAATGAGATCCTGATGGGGATGGAACAGGCAGCCAGATGCGTTCTGGAAATGGCCACGGCACGTATCCACCTCCCAAGCCTTGGTTTCACTCATGCGCCACAGCTTGACGAGCCGATCATCACCAGCGGACACAATGAGCGGCATTGTGGGATGAAACGCAACCCAGTTGACGCCGCGGTCATGGCCTTCTAGAACGAACTTCACGACGGCGTCGGTGTTGCCGAACATGTCGGTCTGGTTCTGATTCGCGCGGGCGACCTGATCCTCAAACGACATTGATGTAGGAGCAGAGTGTTTCTTGCGCAGCCCAGAGATATCCCATACTCTAACAGACTGGTCCAGAGATGCCGAAACGACGAGATCCTCCTTCGGGTGGAATTGGGCGCACATGGCGTAATGGTTATGGCCGGTCATGGTGCAGATGAGAGATCTGTTCTGCCAATTCCATATCCGGATCGTCTGGTCATCTGAGGCCGAGACGATCCATGGCAGCTCGTGGTGAAAGAAGACGGTTCGAACATAGTCCAAGTGGCCATTGAGCGTGAACAGACAACGTCTTGTCTGGTAGGACCAGACCTTGATCTTGTAGTCGTCACCGCCGGATACGAAGAGGGGTTGTGTCTTGTGGAAGTCGATGCCTCGCACGGGGCCGTCGTGTTCCTCGAATCTGTCAATTAGAGTGCCCATGCGATAGTCCCATAGCTGGATCGTTGATGAATGCAGCGAAACGAGAATCCATGGTCTGCGCAAGAAAATCGTTAGTCGCGGTGTAGAATGGCGGGGAGGCAACGAAAACTGACCGTTTGGGATGGAAAGCGAGGCCCTTGGCTCGAGAGCTCTTCGACTCGAACTAGATTATTGTCAGTCATCCTTTAAGATTGTATGGCCAAGCTGGGAAGCTTCGCAGCAGCACCAACCTTTGTCAACATGCCCGTTGAGGACTGCATCTCGATGACAGGGGGATGAAGCCTAAGCTTCGAACATCAAGGGAGAGCTCTGGCGAAACCGCAATTGCCCGCAAATCGACACGAGGTCAGCGGTGCATAAATAACGGAAAGATGAGAGGAGCGCAGGCAGTTCGGTCCGGGTAGATTCGTGGCCTTGAGGCTGGGTGCCGTTGCGTTGTTGTGGGAAAGCTGCTTAGGCCACCTGTGCGCTCTGTCTCCTGTCTGTCCTGTCGGGTCCAGTTAATTCGTAGTAGGGGGGATGGTGAAAGCGTGTCCATCTCCAATGTGTGGGTTCGCCTCAGGCACTACGGCGGTGAGGTTTGTCCTTATTCCGAGGAGCCACCCCCACTATGGCATCTGAGACCGCCCCTGGCGTGCACAGAGGGAGACTTTTTGGCTGTGACCCCTGACGAAGCCACTGGTGCGCCACACTTGTACACCCCACGCCTAGGAGCTCTTCTTACCTTGGAGCTCAATTGGATTGGCGGGAGCTGTTCCTGGTGATGTGTTCAAAAGTGCGCCTCTGACCTTCACCCTCTACATGTTCATCACAGCATTGTAGACATAGCAACGTCGGATCTAACAGCTCTCTTGTGATCCTGTACTTTCTCACTATCTATCTTTCCAAGTTTTTGGTCTACAAAACCCAACTCACAGCGATTTCTTTGAGATGGGAGCTTGATTTGCTTGGACCTTGATCTCAGTGGGACCAGATAGGTACCGGAGAGCCTGTCTTGGACTCCGCAGGCGGATTATAGACCAAGAGTTCTACAGAACCAGTAGACAAAAGCGGATAGTCAATATCGCAAAATTCAAATCTGCGCTTTACAGCATGATAAGGCTCTTTCAGCTGCCATGGGGCCTTGCGGCTGCCCTTTTGGCAGCTTCATGCTTCGAGCCCCGGCTGGTGTCAGCTGGACCTTCGGTCAACATTGCTATGAAAGCAGCTTTTCCCTCATCACCGTACCTGATTGAACTCTTGTATGAGCCCCTATTTTGCATACTGATCTTCACTCGGCTAATAGCAATCTAGAGAAACTGCTGCCCAAGAGAATGGATCCAGCTATTTTCCTCTCCTCGATCGCATCGCCGACGGCTACTTCGCAAACGCTGCAACAGACAAGGATCTATATGAGAAGTTCCTAGATGTACTACAAAAGGACGGGCATATGGATCAAGAGTCGTTATCTACATTCAAGCTTGCTCTTGCAACGAGGTCTGCAGCTCCTCGGATAGAAGCCCACTATCAGTACTATCGGACCGCTGTCGAGCCCATCCTAAGGAAGACCGAGGACGACTGTCTCGACTGGGTACTCATTGAGGGGCAGCAGTACTGCAGCGCGTCACTCGATCAGCCTCAAGGTTCGGTGGACGGAAGGCAGGATCGCCAGTTACCATTCGACATTATTCTGGGCTCCGGATCTGGAAGTGTGCTTTATACCGATATCACCTCGAGTCAATTTGGCCAATTTCACAAGATTCTCTCCGAGAAGGCTCGGAAAGGAGAAGGATCATATCGAATCCGGCACCGCGTTACGTCGAGCGCGGGGCTGGAGGCACTACCAGTCAGTGGCTATGGTGTTGAACTTGCCCTGAAGAGGACTGATTATATTGTTATCGATGATCGAGAGGCTGGTGATGATGCCACACAAAAGCCTACTTCTGAAGTCAACTTAGATGGCGAGGAAGAAGTTGCCGATCTCAAGCCACTGTCAACTTCAGAGCTGTCCGAGCTGGGCCTAAAAGCAGCCTCCTTCGTCATGCACAGCGAGAGTCCTTTCGACACCCTACTGAAGCTGACTCAAGATTTCCCAAAATACTCTACATCAATCGCTGCACACAACGTCTCCGCCGATTTCGTGAAGGAGCATCAAGCCAATCGCCAGGCTTTGGTGCCAAGTGGAATGAATGTGCTTTGGATGAATGGTGTACAGCTAATTGAACGCCAAATAGACGCATTCACTCTCGTTGACATGCTGAGACGGGAACGAAAGCTCATCCATGGTGCGATGGACCTCGGGCTGACTGGTAAAGAGGCTGTCTCCCTCTTGGGGCATTCTTCAGTAGCATCATCCAAGGCAGACAATGAGCCGCAGCGCTTCGACTGGCGTGATGAAATCGAAGAAGGGCAGGTCATCATCTGGTTGAATGACTTGGAGAAGGATAAGCGATATGCCGAATATCCGAAAACACTCATGGCTCTTCTACAACCTGCCATGCCTGGCCAATTACCCCCCATTCAGAGGGATATTTTCAATCTGATCTTCCCTGTCGACCTAACTAAGGCCGAGGACATCTTGCTCGTCGTTGACCAGCTCCAAGGCTTCGTCAAACGCAAATTGCCAGTGAGGTTCGGACTTGTCCCGTTGGTATCAACCCCAGAATCGCTAGACCAGGCCAAAGTTGTCTACCATCTACTTGAGAATTACGGTTTGGCTGCTATGGTGACGTATTTGCAATCTATTGGCGATGGCAAGAAAACGCCTGCAGCAGACAAAACGGTCTTCGACAAGGTGATCAAAGACCGCAAGCCTCGGGCAGAAGCTACACCTCTTCCTTTTAATGATGTGCTCCGGTCAGAGCACCATGAGAGGCAGACCGAACTTGCGCTACACTGGGCAGAGAGATTGAAGGCAAATGGCCCAGTCACCACCTTATTCGCGAATGGTATCGCTATACCGCGTGATGACAACTGGCTCCAGCCAATGAGCCAGAGATTAGGGCTTGATTTGCGTGCTGTTCAAGAGGGGGTCTACTACGGCATGATCGGAGAGGACACGTGGCTCCCGGGCTACTTTATCGAAAAGGCTGCTTCCCGCCGTAACGTCATCCTGTTCCCGGAAGATGACAAGTCACTTACAATCCTGGATGTCAATAAATTGTACACAGAACACAAAGATCTCTTCCACCAACTCCCTGTCATTGAAGCCAATCCAGATTCTACAAAGGAGAACTGGGCGGCACTATCTCTGGTTGCAGACCTAAGTAGCGAAGAGGGTCGCAAACTCGCAGTCTCAGCTCTACAATTCCGTGCAAATAATCCTGGTGTTCGATTCGACATCATCCACAATCCTGCCGACGCGGCCGGGGCGCATGTTATCAACAATGTGCTTAAGTCGAAGGTCGATGACTTGGTCAGTATCGAAACAGTCGAGTCGTTCGCTACTGTGCTCAACGCAGCCAAGAAATCTTCTGACGATGGGTTCGGCGTTGCGCTTGCAAGATTTCTAAAGACCGCAGCTATATTACCGGCAACGAACGTACTCATTCTCAATGGCCGAGTGGTTGGTCCTATTCCCACGGCAGCTGATTTCACTACAGAGGACTTTCAAACACTGCTAGAGTTTGAGCAGGCAAACAGGATTCTTCCTGTCTACGAGGCCATTGAGGAACTCGGCCTTACCGAGAAAATGTCAGGGCCGCTAGCAGCCGCGAAAGTGACTTCTATCACCGCCTTGTCCACAATGTCAGACGTACCAGAGGGAATATTTGAGTCAGCCCCGACCTTGAGGATATCTGCCTTCAATACCTGGAACTCCAGCTACACTGCGTTTGAAGTCGGTGACGCATCAACTGCGACGATTCACTTCGTTGCTACTCTCAATCCAGCCAGCGAACAAGGGCAGAGATGGGTACCCATCCTGAAGGTACTATCTGAGCTTGATGGAGTACACCTCAAGGTCTTCCTAAACCCAAGAGATAGGCTGGATGAGCTCCCTATCAAGAGATTCTATCGATATGTGCTGGAATCGGCCCCCTCATTCGATGATTCGGGCAAAGTGAAGTCGTTAAGTGCAACGTTCAAGGGCCTTCCCTCTGAAGCGCTGCTCACTGCGGGGATGGACGTGCCTCCCGCTTGGCTTGTGTCATCTAAAGACTCTGTGCAGGATCTTGACAACATCAAGATGAGTTCGGTTAAAGGCGACGTCAACGCTATCTACGAACTAAAGCACATCCTCATCGAGGGCCATTCCCGAGAGCCTGGTGGTGGACCGCCTCGTGGAGTACAGCTTGTTCTTGCCACGGAGACGGATCCACACTTCGCGGATACCATTATCATGGCCAATCTTGGTTTCTTCCAATTCAAAGCTAACCCAGGCTTTTACAACATTCAGCTCAAAGAAGGAAGAAGTTCTGACATATTCAGCATCGAGAGCGTCGGTGCATTGGGCTACAGTCCAGCTCCTGGCGATGAAGGCACAGAAGTAGCATTGATGGACTTCATGGGAACGACCTTGTATCCACGTCTTGTGAGGAAACCAGGCATGGAGAATGAAGATGTCTTGGAAGACATCAAGCCAGCCGAGCCTGCTGGCGGTGCCATGGACTTCGTTTCTAAGGGCTTGAAGTTAGCCGAAGGCATCTTGGGTGGCAGCAAGGATAAACCCAAAACGAAGTCTGTCTCAGACCAAGAGCATGCCGAGATCAACATTTTCTCAGTCGCTAGCGGTCATCTCTATGAGCGTATGCTGAACATCATGATGGTCAGTGTGATGCAACATACAAATCACACGGTCAAATTCTGGTTCATCGAGCAATTCCTGTCGCCCTCATTCAAAGACTTTATCCCACACATGGCGGCGGAGTACGGCTTCAAATACGAAATGGTCACGTACAAATGGCCCCACTGGCTCCGCCAGCAGAAGGAGAAGCAACGAGAGATCTGGGGGTACAAGATCCTCTTCCTTGACGTTCTTTTTCCTCTGTCTCTTGACAAGGTCATTTTTGTCGATGCTGATCAGATCGTGCGAACTGATATGTATGATCTTGTTCAACATGACTTAGACGGCGCTCCTTACGGCTTCGCACCCATGTGTGACTCCCGTACTGAGATGGAGGGTTTCCGCTTTTGGAAGCAAGGCTATTGGGCCAATTACCTGAGAGGCCTGCCGTATCACATCTCTGCCCTATACGTCGTCGATCTCCGAAGGTTCCGTGAGCTGGCAGCGGGCGACCGGCTTCGCCAACAATACCACACGCTCAGCGCGGACCCAGCTAGCTTATCGAACCTGGACCAGGATCTGCCTAACCATATGCAATTCCAAATCCCCATTCACAGCTTGCCGCAAGAGTGGTTGTGGTGCGAGACGTGGTGTAGCGATGAAAGTCTCACGAAAGCCCGCACCATTGATCTATGCAACAACCCGCAAACCAAGGAGCCTAAGCTCGATCGGGCAAGGAGACAGGTGCCTGAGTGGACTGTGTACGATGATGAGATAGCGGCTCTCGATCGGAGACGGAAGGGCTTGGCTGCTGATGGCAATCTGCTTCCAGAAGACGAGGCTCAGAAGGTCGTTGCCGGAGAACCGAACACAAAGAGTAGGCGGCTGGATGAGCCGGAGACTCGCAAAAGAGACGAGCTGTAGTTGCAATGTAGTAAAATCATGTGACAATACTTATTAATGTAGCAAAGCTGGGTTCTAAGTGTCGTCGCTTTTCCAGATTACCTCCAGTGTGCTACATGATACATCACCACTCTCCTCAGTCCCCTGTCTGAGGCTAGTACATGTCCACTCGTTGTTCATCATTAGAACAAGATTTCCTGGTCGTTCATAGTCCAACCATCTCCTCCAAAGTGCATGACCCATTATGCAACAGCACATAATCGAGCTTCGCTTCGGCGTTGAGCGGCACCTGGAGCGCGACAGATGTTGCGTCACTCGGGTACTGCGTCCGGTGGCCATGCGCCGAGACGTCGGGCGTGTCCGCCGCTATTATCAGTCCATACTTTCCACCCTGCAGCCAGACCTCATCGGTGCTGTTGGGCAGAGTGATGTGAATCAATCCCGACGTGAAGTATACAAGCCTATGAAAAGTCAATTGAAATTCCAAAGAGAGATGGATCATGCTCATGGGGCTTTACTGGATGGCAGGCGCATTGTGGAGACCTCCGTCGAATCGCGGAGGTAGCACCGTGTAAGTCGCATTGGACATGTTGCCAAAGAAGAGATTAAGCGCCCCGGTCGTCCCTGGGACGGAAGACGACGCGAAGGGCCCGAGCCGCCAGCATTCCAAGGTGGATTCGCCGTTCGCTGCTCCGATTGCCGTGAGGTTCAAATACGGCGTGGTGACATTACTCAGTTGCGCCAAGGCCTGCCCAAATGCTGCCACCACGGCGAGGATTACTGATGTCCGCATTGTGCTACCAACTCGATTGATTTTTGCAAGGGTCAGTATCCTACCGGGTCACGCAGACTCTTTATATACACGACTAGTTGGCTTTTGCCTCTCAACACTGCCGGAATAGGCTATCGTGCCTCCGATGTTGCTTCCGCGACTCCACCGACGATAATTTCATGGTGGAGACCCATTTTTGAGTTCAGGCCCGTTGCGACCTCACGTCAGCGTTTTGAGGAATAGAGTTCACCGAGCTGGCAAAGATCATCGCATGCAAACGTGTTTTACATAAAGAGCCCAGGGGCCAGCTTGCAGGGGTAAATGGTCAATCCACAACGCCGCACTAAGTTTTCCAGAAAGTCTTATAGGACATGACCTCGTGCGTCATTTCCGTGTCTCTAACGTCCAATCTGCTTTGAAGACAAGTCGAGTGGCACAGCTAGAGTGATATTCATCACTTGAGCACTGACGGCGCTGGGTTCCTAGAAAGTGAACATCCCACGTTGAACATTATTCTCTGACGGTCACCGAAGCCATTTCGCTTTGCCTACCTCACCTGCTAGCATCGCTTTTCTACTGAACTCTATTGTAGCCTCACTTGATAAAGCGACCTCAAAATACATTCATATTCCAATAGAGATAGAACGAGCATTACGCTAGAGTATGGTGATGATATTATATTGTTTGTAAACATGTTTTCACGGGCGCTTAGGCAGATTTATACAGAGTATAGAGCATGGAACAACAAACTATCAAGTCCCAGATAATCCGACGCATAATTACAGCTGTGCTCAAATCATCAACCATGATGAAGTCCGTCGTAGACAGTGGGTAGTTCTTGATTGGGTGAACCGCAGCTCCAAAACAATGTTCCGATGGTATCAAGATCTGATAGTGGCTCATTTCACTGGCATCATTTTATTTGTCAGCCGTCTTGGACGTTGATGCAATTCCTAAAGGTCTCAAATTGAAGCTCGCGTAACATCGTCAAGCGCGGAAACATATGGATAGGCTGATGTAGCTCGATAGGAGACCAACTTGCTAACTACGAACTCGCACTTCACTAGACCATATTATTGACTAGATGATCTCAACATCTTCGATGGGCTTATTGTCTCTGGATATATTTCTCACAAGACCACCAGAGACCATACAAGGTGAGAAACTCCAATGTTGCCTACCTGTGTGAGAAGGTGTTTAGCTAAATCGCTGTGGCTTTAGCGGATAATGCGACTCGTGCCATCTTTTCTCGAATCTTTTTCGTAGACCGTTGACAAAGTCTGGCTGCGTGACACGCTGCATTTCGAGCCTCCTTCTAAAACCGGCAGTTCGATATTGCCAATTTATATTACCGACCACCAGCATCAGGCCGCAGCAATTATACCCCAAATATAGACCAACCAATTTATATTGCGCTGACATCAGGATCCGAGAAGCCTAGAGCACCTGCAAAACATTTTGTTGATACCGAGAATAGTCGATCCTTTTGTCTGTAATATGCCGCGTCGTCAGGCTTTTAAAAGACTTCGAGGCACTACCGACGGGAGTATCGTAGTATCGGTAGGGCGAGATTGTGCATGCTCGGTTGTCACTCAGCCTCCTGCATGGTCAAATCTGGAAAGTGCGACGTCAACCTGTCCTCGAATCTGACACCCAAAAGACTCAACATCATTGTAGAGGGTTGTAGAGGTGAAAAGCAGCTGCTCTGGGCGGATTCTGACTATCTCTTCTGCATGCGGAATGCACTGCACGGCCATTGGAACCACCATCACGATGCTCACGAGATCATTTCCTCGTAAAACGCCAATTCAATGCGTTAGCGTGATGAGAATAGGTGTGCCCGATGCTAAGTATATCGGCTGACCGAAGCACTCACTTCTCACGAGCTAAACATATAAAAGATTATGAAAAGGCGTGGGCGTTGCTTGACATGCCTTGACTCTTGCATCAGCTCAATTTCTTCCTCAAGCTCGAAAAGCGCCTAGGAGCTTCGTTAAGGCAATAATAACTACACTGTCGTCTTAGTCGTCAATTTGATATCAAAGCGTCTGCAATTGTGTCATAATGCTGTTCTCTTCCATTATATATGCCTTTATGGGCACTGGAGCTGTGGCCCATGTCATTCGCACACCGGCAGCACGAAGCTGGTGTGGCACTGCTCACCCAACCGAGGAACAGCTGGCAAAGACAAGAAAGTTGGCTAAGCAGGAGAAGGCAACATTTCTGTCTGGAGAGATTACAACTAGGGCTACCCTTGATGTGGACACGTACTTTCACTGTGTCACATCCTCAACTCAAGAGTCTGATGGCTGGCTTTCTGTGAGTTGATCGCTTTCATTTGGCTTGCATGTCGGTTAACGATGTCAAAGGATGAAACTTTGCAGGCGCAACTGGATGTAATGAACGAGGACTTTGCTCCGTCTGGCGTATCTTTCACTCTTAAAGGGACTACCCGCACTGTGAATTCGAGCTGGGCTTTCAATGATGAGGAGCTTGAGATGAAAACCGCTCTTCGCCAAGGCGATTATAAGACGCTAAATGTTTATTTCCTTACCGATCTGGGCAGTGGCTTGCTTGGATACTCAACCTTCCCAGATCACTTCGAGCCTGGTTCAGAGGGCTTCTATCTGGACGGTTTGGTGATTCTTCATACTACAGTGCCGGGTGGTCCCGAGACCAACTACAACGAGGGCAAGACCGTGACCCATGAGGCAGGGCACTGGTTCAACCTGTACCATACCTTTCAAGGTGGTTGCACTGGTGATGGCGACTTTGTTAGTGATACGCCCGCTCAGTCTAGTCCTACGAGTGGATGTCCTGAGGGCCGAGACTCGTGTCCTAGCCAAACCGGAGCGGACCCTATTCACAATTACATGGATTATTCATATGAGTAAGCAATCTCCCTACAATTACAACTAATCGGTTTACTAATGAATCTGAAGCTCTTGTTACACCAATTTCACACCTGGTCAGAATGCTCGATTAGAGAGTTCATGGGCGGAGTATCGCGCATAGGCACATCACAACCCGTCCATAATGAAAAGGTATGGCGCAGCGCTACTGATCTAAGCATGTTGTTTGCGTGCTCAGTTCGTTGTGTTTTATGGTCACTTTTCCAATCTCCTGTATCTTTCTCTTTGTTGCGTCCAGGCACCATTTTGGATTTTATGAAGTTATGTTATTAGAAGTATGATGAGTCCTTTCTTTTTATTACTTTTAGAGTATTTCGAACAGATTTTCCACGACTTGAAAGTCCTCGCATCTGTGGGGATTTCTCAACATGGCAGTCCTCTTTCCGTCATGGTCAATGATATCGAAGGTCAATTGACCGATATGAATTGATTCCAACTTCTTGAACGTTTGTGCATATCGCTGTGCATAATCCGTCATTCGATAACGGTGTTGCCCTTCCCAGATTTCCTGCACAGTTTCATATGACAATCCATTTCTGATGGCTCTCAGCCATTGGCTACGTTCAGGGAGACGATGGATGTAATATCCACCAGCTGAAATCATGGAGGCCCCATTGTCAAGAACGTAGGAATCTCGAGTGAAGATAATTCGTCGCAAATGCTTTAACGGACTTAAACTCAACAGCAGAGCTTCATGGTCAACGACCCAGTTGTACCACGTTCCATGTTGCAGCCCGGTGCTTATGTGAAGTTGTTGGAGAAACTTCAAAGTAGATAGCGCAACGAGAGAGGAGTCAGTTATCTCTGACCCAGACCAAGTCATCGAGAGTAACCTCAGGTTTGGCAATCCTGCCAGTTTTGATAAGAGCAAGTTGATGAAATCCGGCGGAAGCTCGCCACCAATATAAAGCGCCTCCAAATTGATATTGTTTTTCAGAATTTGCAGCAAGGATGCGTCAGGCGATGAGTTAATCGTGTAGAGAACGAGAACCTCAAGAGTCATATGCGGACTCATTTCCACAAAGCTCTTTCTAAGGACATCATCGCTGAAATCGACAGCTAGCGTGGACAATCGTCTGCATCGAAATAGGGAGCACCATGATCTGCTATCTAACAAGGATCCTTTGACAACATGGAGAGATCTGAGCTGAGAGAAGTGGGAGGCAAGGCTAAGTCTCGCAGATGAGAAATTGTGTGATATCTTTAGACTCTCCAACGAGGAAGCGCACTTGTCAAGTAAGTTCGTGAATACGAAATCTTGGCCACATACGAACTTCGATGAAGCTAGCGTTGAATCAATGGCGATGTCTAAATGAGCTAGCGGTTCCAGAGGTTCTCGGTCACTACTAATGCAGGCAGTGCCAACACTTAGATTCTGTCCTTTGCAGCAGGTTTCCCCGTGGCACTTCAAGGCCGTCACAGTTGTATTTGAGATGCTTCCAAGCAAATAGTGAAGTACGAATCGACAGCCACAAAACTCCAATGTCTCTAAGTTTGGCATGCTGTATAGTAGTGAGATAACCCCTAGATGAGCTTCGTGAATTTTTGAAACATCACTCGCCGGATGAACCTTCGACGTCAAGTTGCTGGGATCTGTGTTTGGAAACCTGGTAGAAATCGAAATTCGACGGACACAAGCAGCAAGCGATGGATGCCGTGTTGATCTGTGTTGACTGCGCTGTTCACTCTCTCTGAGAAGAGCTTGAAGGAATGCCTTCACGCGGTCGTAACGATAATCAATCACAATGCTGCAGAATTGATAGGATCTTGAAATTTGGCGGCAATCAGAGTTGACGAGAGCAAGGTTCGCCAAAGTGTCACCGTCTCCACTGATGTAACCGATAACGAGTGACAATATCTCAACAGGGAGAGTTAGAAGACGACTGTGTCGCGCGGAAATTGTATTATTTTCCATCACTCGTTCGAACTCTAGGGCATGAGGAACATAACCACGAGCCAAAGGAAGCGATTTCATGGTGACATGTATGTTTCGTGTTGTCGTGACGCAACGCCAGATTTCCGTCTGAAAGTAAACCTCAAATCTCCGGTAGCTGGATGATATCACGATGAGGCTCAATACGCGCTGGCACGTCTATCTTGTCGTCGAAAAACTTTGTGTGTTTAGCTTGTCAATGCTACTCGGCTTTAATCTTTATGATCAAGACAGCCAATACTCACCACTTTATAGATAAATTAGAAAAGCAATGATACGATATCGCCTTTTCATAAGTACGAGGGCTATGATAGAGTTTGATTCTTCATGCCGGAAAGTTGGAAAGTAACGTACTTAAGTATGATTTAGTAATCTCACTGTCCTGGTTTTGTCGTACAAACCACACTGATCCCCCTGTTGCTGACTGGCCTGCTGTGCAGAATAAGCAACCGATGTTCCGAGAGCGCGTTCCGAATGCGGATAGATTGTGCGTTACTATGTACGAGCTGATGTAATCTCGGTCACGATGTCGTATTTCTCCATGGCCAGCCCCACAATCAGGGCTGACAGATGTAAGCATCACGACATGCCACCTGCTTCTTATATGCACGTCAAAGCCATCGGTAATAAAAGTAAGAGGAAGAGCCCGAAGACATGGAATAATTATGCATTGTCTTCGTTTGACTTGGCAACTAAACTTCCCTAAACCCAGGGGCTAGATAAATCATTGGCAGCGACCTTGAGCCGAAATGGTCCGCTTTAACGTCCTAGGGCGAGCAGAGATCTATCAACTTCGCTTCATGGCCGGTTTTGTAATTTGTATTGCGGAAATGCCGAAATTCCTTGAATCCTCTTATTGTAAGATGTTGCATTCCATCCTGATGGAAGTAGTTGAAGGCGATAGTGTGGAGTGAGTTTGAGAACTTCCACGAACGCCATAGTCGGTAATGGCAAACATCCGCTGGAGGACTTACCTAAACCGGCCGCAGCATATAAGGCGTGATGACCATTTGCGCCTCAGCTTCATGGCTCTGATAAGGCTTGCCTCATCATCATCGTCGCACTCCTCTTCACCATCGTCATCAGAGCCTCGTGGTCCCGCTTCGTTGTCAAGGACGATGGGACGGCAGTCTACAGTCTTAGAGAGGAGCACATAGCCACCGCTGAGTACGCTCCTATGCTGACCCTGTGGTGTAATGGAGACAAGGCCGACATATGGGAGAGGGAGTATAAGAGTGTCTTGGTTTTGTTTCACAAGAACTGCGCTGCTGTTCCTCAAGAATGCTCCCCCAGGCTTGCGTAACGCCACAATGACCGCGACTCCGCTGGCCTCCAGGGCCAGCAATCGGGGTAGTATATTATCTGTACTGTCCTTTGTGCCAGCACCCGAGTAGTCTTGGGATATGTCCTCGTCTCCGATGCTTTCTTCACCTCCTGCAAGCTGCATTCTCTCCATCGCCTCGGACGCCATATTGCGATCTGAAAGATGCTGCTGGTAGTCGACATCTCCCAAAGCCTTCATCGTCATTGTCTGGTGGTCGTTGAGAAGACGGGCGAGCAGTAACGTCGCGGTTGCCAGCCACGCGTAGTGGTCTAGGAGCCGGAAGTAGCTCGCTGTGCGCTCGCAGGACCGGAGATGGATGAAGCGGCTCAGTAGTTCACGGCTGGCTTCGACACAGATATTGCGACTACTACTGGGCAGGTGGCTACGATTGAGATGGTGCTTGCTGTGATGATGATGCTCGTCGGTGGTGATGGTAGGCTCACCGTATGTTGCCTGTAGCATGGACGGAAGATCAGTAAGCAGGAGAAGGTAGAAATGAAATATCTGGGTCCTGAGCTTCATCATAGCTTTGAACAGATCCTTGTCGTCGTCGGCTTCGTCTTCTGCCTGGTCCGTTAGGCTGGGCGTGCGCCACCATGCGCTCGGCATCGCACTCCTGGCTTCTTCCAGCTCGGTGTGGATCTTATGCGCGGCGTTTAAGTCCTCGAAGTCGGAATCCCGCTGGCTTCGTTGGAACACGTGGGTTGCTATTGTAGCATGCCATCTCTCGAGCTTGCTTAAGCCTGCAATATCGTTCTCCGCTGTGACTGAATTCGCCACCGATATGAAAGCATCACCCAAGCAAGTGGTAGAGGGTGGCATCTCTAGTGCTAAGCATAATGTAAGCTCGCTGTGTACGAGACGGAACCATATTTGCTGAAAGTCTGCCGCCTGGTTGTTACGGTTCTGCAATATTGATTTAGGTGGTGCCATCGAATTATACCGGCGCCTGTGAAATCCCATGAGGTGCACTGCAGAGATGGCCCGCCTGCATGCTAGCCAGGACCGGCGAGGGCTGCCGTTGTGTTCATGATATACAGCCTCGAGCCAAAGACATTCCAGGCCCTCGAGGGTGTCGGTAGTGAACTTGTCGTGCGCCGTCACCAACGTCGCGGCTGGTTCTGCCAGTCGTCTCGCCAACGCTCGCGGCGGCCGGGACAACTCGCTCAGCTGCTGGTAGCTGTTGGTACTGCTCCTTACTGATCCCACAGCATACAGGTGCTGTAGAATGTTGGCAAGGAGGAGCATATGTCGGGCAATGAGGACTGGATGTGTCTCTGCCGTGTACTGTTGATGTTGTTGTGTTTCCCACAGCTTCTCTGAGTCAAGTGCCAACCCCTTTTCGAGTTGGTGGGGCGATGTTACAAAGACCTGGAGCAGGTAGAGCGCCAAGTTCCCATCAATGCTACCGAGGATCCCAAGGTCCTGGGGAGACGGATAGGCCGCAAGCAATGCTTGTGAAAGTGTTCGATGCTTTAACTTCGTCATTGAAGGCGGCAATGGTATGCTGGTGTTGGCCGGATTTAACGGCGAACTGGCGGAAGCGATATGACTACCAACTTGCTCGGCCAGTTGCTGGATCATCGTTTCCAGCCGGGCGATGCGGTCTCCGACCAACCGGCTTTTGGATGACTGCCCGGGGTTCTGCTCCGGAAACTCCTGGCCGACACAATCCAGGCAGCGCCGGGTGCACCCGATGCATACGTCGTCCGCGGGTCTTGCGTACGTGCATTTGACCTTACGCCGTTTGCATGCCCAGCAGCTCCGCGTTCCTTTGCGCGTTTTCCGCCGCTTTAGACTACGTCGGGTGTCGATGCTGCTGCTATTTTGCAACGCCATGGTGCGGTGGGCGAAGGTAGGCGCTGCGTTGGACCGAGTTTCTCGGCTCATGCTAAATCAGCCTATTGCCCGTGTATTGACAAGATGTTATGAGTGCGAGCACCACTTCGACGGAATGCTACGGATTTTGGGTGATAATTTCCCCTACCGAACGGCGGTGGATATAAAATAAACTCGTGCTTGGTTTACTTCTTAGTTGAGACTTGAGGGTAGAATTGGTCGCACGAAACATATCGGCTTAAGCACGCACCGGCTGTAACCCCGTACCGGACGTAAGGCTGAACGGCGGTTGAACGACTAAACCCGGGACCCCCCGACAACCAATCAACCTAGCTCCAAGTTACAGCAGAGTATACGATGAAGAAGTTGTTGACATATAGTCACTTGCTTTATAAAGAAGAAAGCCTCCCAGGGAAAGCTCCCAGGGAGTACAATTAGACAGACTAAGCTCTGACTATGACTTTCCTTCTCGGGGAAACGGAAACAACCAATCGACCAGCCTGCTATTCTGGAGACTTTAATAGCACGGCGACTTCAATATAGATAGGGAGGCGCGGCTTGAAGTGTAAGAGACGGAATCATCGTTGACTCAAGCCCGGGAAGAGCCTTCCGAGTGCGACACAACATAACGCCGAGGATACGCCCTCAATATGAGGTCCGACCAGACCGAGAATGGAGAGAAGAAGGAGGACCTTGAGGTCGGTGGAGATGTCCTCGAGGCTACTGAGCCTTCTCCCGCGGCGGACGCAGACGACTTTCCGGCAGGCGCAAAGCTTGCCTTTATCGTCGTGGCGCTGGCCATGAGTATGTTTCTGGTCGCTCTGGATATGGTGAGGCAAACGAACACTTATATCAGCTTGTGTCTCTGATATATTCGAACCAAGCGACTAACTTTTGCCCGAACTTCTTTTGCAGACAATTATCGCGACGGCCGTTCCCAAAATCACCGACGACTTCCACAGCCTGGAGGACATCGCCTGGTATGGCTCAGCCTTCTTTGTGACGAGCGGCGGCTTCCAGTCATCATGGGGCAAGGCCTTCAAGTATTTCTCTCTCAAGATTAGTTACCTCGCCGCCATCTTCATTTTCGAGCTCGGCAGTCTTATTTGCGGAGTGGCACCGACATCGACGGCCCTGGTTGTCGGACGCGCCATCGCCGGAGTCGGTGCCGCCGGCATCAGCTCCGGCACCTACACGCTGATAGCCTTCGCGGCACGCCCTGAGAAGCGGTCCGTTTTTGTCGGCATCTTTGGCCTCTGTTTCGGCATGGCGTCCGTACTTGGGCCCCTGATCGGCGGTGCTTTCACCGACCATGTTAGCTGGCGCTGGTGCTTCTATATCAATCTGCCCATCGGCGGGTTGTCAGCCCTCCTTGTCCTCATCTTTTACCGCACACCCGCATGGGCCAAGCCTACAGAGGCCAGCTGGACGGAGAAGCTGCTACAGATGGACCCCTTGGGCACGGTACTGGCATTGGGAGCTATCATTGTCTATATTTTGGTTCTGCAATACGGCGGGCAAACCGAGCCGTGGAACTCGTCCAAGGTGATCGGCTTGCTCGTGGGCTTTGTGCTTATTACCGCGGCTTTTGTGGCCTGGGAGATATATGCGGGTGAGAGGGCGATGATGCCGCCGCGCCTAATGAAGCAGCGAGTCGTGTGGTTCAACACGACATGGGCCTTCCTCCTGATCGGAGCCTACTTTGCGACTGTGTACTACTTGCCTGTGTACTTCCAGAGCATCGACAGCCTCAGCCCGACGGCATCCGGCGTGCGCAGCTTGCCGCTGATCCTGACCGCCAGCGTCGCCATCATTATTCTCGGCATGACCGTCAAGTACTTCGCCTCTTACACGATGCTGGTCATGGCCTTTTGCGCAGCCGTCGCGGCCGTTGCGATCGGGCTGATGATTTCTCTCGACATTGGCACTTCCCTCGGCAAACAAGTCGGCTACCAGCTTCTGGCCGGGTTCGCGCTCGGATTTCCCTTCCAGCTTCCAGTCATCAATGCCCAGACCCAGTCCAAGGCGGAGGATCTGGCCGTCGTCACGGCCATCATTATATGTGAGTATATGTTCACCACCCGGCCAGCATTTCCCACACTGACATGGTTTCTTTCTGTCCTACAACAGTCTCGGAAACCATTTCTGGCGCCATCCTCCTGTCTGCCGCGCAATGTGCCTTCGTTAACCAGATGCTGAAAACGCTGACTGTCACGGCCCCGAACGTTGATTCGGCCAAGCTCATCGCCACGGGTGTGTCCGAAATCCGCGACGTGTTTCCTGCCGAGCAGATCCCTGGAATCTTGCTCGCGTACATGGACGGCCTCCGGATCCCGTTTGCCATTGCCACGGCTACAGCTGGCGCTGCCTGCATCCTCGCCTGCGTTGTCGTTGCTGTTCCCTCTCGTCTTGGAAAGAAGGCGGGTGACGGCGGTTTGGAGTGCAATGATGGCTCCGACGGAACCAAGGACGAGCGACCGGCCTCAAAATGAAATACCTAATTGCCCACGCGGCTGCTGCCAACACTCTGCACAAGGTTGATGTCTGCTGTTAGGACATCGACACACCTCAGCGCCTTTCTTCTCTCTCTTCTGGCTGGATCTCGGGCCTAGATAGCGTACACAATCTTATTTCCTTTGTAGATCTTGTAGTATATTATATGTTCCAGTTGGTCTAAATGTATAGAATGCCCCCACACTGAGAGCGTACTAGCAGTGGCTATATAGTCTGGTTAGAATATCACAGCAAACACTTTCCGAGAGAGAAACAGGAGCCCGACATCCTATCAAGTCAATACAGTTGCACAACACCAGTGGCCGTGCCGGAGATCCGTGGACAGGGGTAGCATTGGCAGTTCCATTGAAGCCAAGGGATACTAGGGTAGCCGAGGGCGGATATTAGTTACTTGCAAGCTGACAGGAACAAATCGGGGAATTCTCCAAAGATCTCCAATTCAATTTTCAAGGCGGCGCCACAACCGCCAAGAGCCTTGGCAATGCAGAAATCCTGTCACCCCTGCAGATCCGATCCTGCTCGAGGCGTGTGCAGTTGGCGCCAGCGAGGACTACAAATGCACTTTACTCACGCGTGGCTCCGGTTCTTAACTTCACGCCGGACATGTGTTTGAGCTGGTGAGGAGACCGGCACAGAAACAGCATTGGACAGGATGTCAGCCTCAGTATTCACTGAGAGCAATGACAATCTCGTTGAGAAATCGACGAGGAGCTCACGGTGGTCATGGCTTCGCACGAAACGTGCCATCGCGCTCTTATCCGGCTTGGTCATTGTGGCCGTAGTATTGATCGGTAAGTCGAGGTCTGATGATCGAGACGTATTGCAAATCGAATTGAACTCTTGACTGACAATGCCTTCGGATTTTTAGCTCTCGGTGCTACTGGGACTTTCGGGTCTCACAATCAGAATAGCGAAAAGTCTGCTAGTGGCGTGTCCAATTCCACATTTGCCGGTGGTGACCAGTCAAGTTCCATAACATCGGCTAGTATTGCGAGTGCGACATCACAGAGCACATTCAGTCCATCCACTACTTCATCCCGGACTAAGATTAGCACGACGACATCGACAAGCAGCGTCAAGGCGACTTCAACAAGCTCATTCGTGCCCATTAACGGAAGCAGCATCGATGATGGAGTCCCCTTGAGGATCATGCCGCTTGGTGCATCATTGGTGAGAGGCGAAAGGTCGACAGATTACAAGGGCTGGCGATCACCAATGCGCGAGTCACTGGTCAAGATGGGTGTGCCTGTCAACATGGTAGGCTCGCAGAGGTTAGGAGTGTTTCTTGACAACGATCTCGAGGGCTACCCTGGGTATCGCGTCTCCCAGTCACACGATGCTGCGAAAAAGGTCGTACCCAAGATGCAACCCAATCTGTTCATCATTCACGTCGGAACCAATAACGCGCTGAAGGATATCGATGTGGACAAAGCTGGGGAACATATGGAAGCATTCATCGACTATTTGCTGGAAACCTCCAACACATCTACTGTGGTGATGAGTACTTTGTTGACAAACATGGTGCCGGATACGGAACCCAAGATATTGCAAATCAACGAACAGTACCGAGCATTATTGCCGAAGTACGACGGCAAACCCGTCGTTTTGGCTGAGATGCACCCTAGCGAGGGGCTTCCCAACAGACCGCAAGTGGAGGACATCGGACCTGACCTGACGCATCCGTACGACGCCGGTTACGAACTAATGGCAAACATTTTCATCGAGAGTATAAAGGAGGCAGACGAAAAGGGATTTCTTCAGTGGCCGGTCAATAATGGTTATCCTTACGACGGCGATGCTGGCAGAACCGAGTAGACGGAAACTAATATCCTTTAGCAACATGGGTTTAATCATGCAGCCTATTCATGGTGTTAAATGATAATGGGCATACAGCGGCGTTATCGGCAGGCTTATCGTGAATTATAAAGGACGTGATGCACCCTGCCATAATTAGGAGTTTAGCATAATCTGCTAGCTTCTTGTATATCACTGGAAATATTAGCAGTTCTATGGCGTGCTCTGCTATAGATCACATATTATAGAAGATATAATAGATTTGGGCTCTAATCTCATTTTGCTTCATGATTGGAGAGATGATCCTCGACTGTTCAGTACGTGGCTGGAATGACAGCGATTCGTCCACCATCATTCAAGAGTACCATCCCATCAGTGAAGGATCCAGCGCGACTACATAGATATAATATAGCGCCGCCCATCTCTTCTTCCCCACCAAGCTTTCGAGCTGGGATAAAATTAGGGTCTTCGGGGGTCTCCTCGTCAATAATGCGGTCTTGTATCAGGCCGACGGCCATATCTGATGGGAACACTAGAAACAAAGTTTATCAATAAATGTTCTGATTAGCACAGGCTCCTTCACAAACAACACTTACATCCTGGGGCAAGGGCATTCGCTCGTATCCCGTATGGAGCTAACTGAGTGGCAGCCTGTTTGGCTAAATGCAGAATTGCAGCCTTACTACCTCCATAAGCAGGTGGTGTGAAATAGCTACGCATAAGAGCACCGACGCTACTTGTGAATATGACCTGACTCTGGATTGAGGGCACCTTACTGCCATTAATTGGCGCACCATAGCCGCCGGCCATGGCGTTCTTGTTGCCGGCATCTAGAAGTTCGAGGAAAGCCGCCATGGTGAAGAACGTAGCCGTCACATTGACATGAAACGCATCGGTGAATTCTTCCATGGATGTGGCAGTAAACATACTCGACCTAAGTTCGCTGATAGATAGATGTGGGGCATATCTGTTTCGAGAAATCAGCGTCCTTTGATATATAGGTAGAGTCTCGCCATCGAGCCTCTTGTGATAACGCTACTTGACTCACCCATTGAGCGGTCCAAGAGTGCCTGAATTGGCGATCACGACATTGACGTAACCAACATCTGTGGTGATTCTGTCCACCGCATTTTGAAGCGACTCTTTGGAAGTGATATCGCATTGCAGGGGCACAATTGATTCATGTTCGTTTGCCGCTTTTTGTAGGACATCCTGACGTCTACCAAGGATGTAAACTTTTTTTGCTCCATTAGTAGCTAGAGCTTTGGCCATCATCAAGCCAATGCCTATTTCATGTTTAATATGTGTACAATAAGGAGAACCGGGATAATCGAGGAGTTCTCGAAAGCGTACCGCTACCTCCTCCCGTGACTACTGCCACAATTCCATCAACACGGAAAATCTTGTCTGCTTCAAGCATGATAATTCTCAGGTTATGACGAGCGGTGGCTTTGTTTACCGGAGGTCTTCACCCACTCATCAATCTATCGAATGGCCATTAAACAGCGTATCAAATCACATCCTGGGAGCTTAGGTATTCGTCTACTTTATAAGACTCTTAGATTTAATCGAATTACTAATATCAGGGTTTGCTGGCTGCTAAACACTGTCTAATTCCGGGGCGGAGGATTTAGGAGCAGTATCTCCAGAGAAGCCAAGTCCCGGAATGACGGAACGGATCCTGAGACATAGCGCCGTCGGAGTGGGGGAGTCCGCTCCGAGCACACGGGAAGCCGCATGCGCCACCGACTCGGAGTTTGAACTTACGCATTTCTATTAGATCTTTTCCAAGCATATTGCAGACCGTTTGATGTCGACTTACCTGATTAACTCGCATTTGAAAGTGATACTAGACTCGCTCGAGTCCATGGCTTTTTGACGATTGGCTTGTGCTTTAACTTGAATCCACTTCTTGTTTGCAGGACGGCCATAGGGTGATTTGGGCATATATATATACTTGACGGTAGGACATCATTTATCACAACAGTTCTTGTGTTAAAATAAAATTAAGAAAAATTGGAATTGCCTTGAAGATTTTTTTTCCACTGGTGTCGTACACAAGTATCCGAGGCGAAAATGTAGAGCGAAAGTCGTTTGTTCCTGGAGAACTCTTTATTGAAGGTCAACTCCTTATATTGAGCATTGAAATAAGCCTGGAAATCCACAACCATTCACGACTCTGCCTTCTCCACAGCCCAGACAGACTGTTTTCCAGAAGTATGATGAGGATGCAAGATTCTTCAACTATGACAACACATCACAGTTGACAACTAATTAAATCCATGCATGCAAGGAGCCGTTGGAGAAATCGTTTGTAGATTGTGATTTGTGCTCTCGCCAGACTTTCTAGACAATGAACTTCGTCCTAAGAGTTCTTTCCATTTGTGACCAGAGCTAGTTTTGCCTTCCTTCCTGCTTGCGTCATCCGAAATCTCTCGCTGGCTGTTTCTTATCGCTAGTCCGACCGTAACTTAACAACACCTTCAGCTAAGCAAGCGCCGTTTGTTTTCATATCCGACGCTGCAAACGAACGAACCCAGAGTATTTTCCCCTATCAGGTCACCCCAGCAATCAGCACTGATAGTCACAGCAGGCCCCTCTATCTGCTAACAGTGACCGATTTGATTATGCCTTACCTACGGAAAGACGCTCCTCTCCATATTCCGGAGGATGAGTTCATCGAGTCGCTTTTGAGCGAGGAGAGAGACGAATGCACCACACAAACCTTGCAAGATATCAGCGATAAGCAGAGAAGTCAGACGAATTTGGTTCGACTGGGGAAGCGCACAGAGCGGATCCAAGGCGATCCATTTGGCGTGTGGCCATCATGGGCCGGCAACATAGCCCATCCGGAGGACTTGCGAATGGTTGTTAACCCATGGACTACGTTTTTTAACTGGAAGATCAGATTCTGATGCCAATCACAGTTCGATGTTCTTGGACCCATATGCGATAAGATCATTGCCGCGGAGCAAAAAGAGAACGAGCAGATTTCGACAATTCGAAGCTTTCTCCAACGCGTACCATTTACTGAGCCTCGGATGTTGGCGACAGAAGTGGCAGACCAAGACAGCATCGTGATCTCGAGAGACACTGCCGATGAGCTTATGGTATCTTTTCGGCTAAAGACAACGACTGTCTGCCTCGTTCACGCGAAGGAGCTCGATAAAACAGACAAGAAGTCATACGACAACTCGACGAGAGCGAAGGCCTCTACCATGGGAATGGCCAATGCATTTAGCGAGAAGCCGATGCCTATCGAGATTCAGCAATATCTTATGGCTAAGATTCTCTCCGAGAATCCAGCGGCGTATAACGACCAAATCGGAAAGGAAACTTGTGGGGATTCCAAGCAGAGCAGAGACGCCAACAAGAGCATTTTCGCGAGTCTTCGTTCCCTTGCTCGAGAAATGTATTGGCTTGATATGACGCCCATCGAGCGGGCTGAGATCCAAGATGCAGCCGGTGCCGCAGGAACAACTTCGGAATTAGGAACTTGTCTCCAGGTTATTCAGTCGAACTGGTTCCCGAAGTGGAACAATGGTCATTGGGATGCTGATCATTTTCGCAATTACTTGACAGATCAAACAGCAGCAGAGAACGTCTGGGGTCTCATTCAAGAGGATATCTTCATTGTGGTCGACAAGAATCTGCAAGTGGTGTTTGCGAATATCGAGAAACTTGCTGACCTACTCTTCGGTCACGACGTTGTGGATCTCCTTGAACGAGCCATAGACCTGTGGTCATTCTATAACCCGCTTCCATTTCCTGAGACAAGCCGACATGTTGTCGACAGGTATGTCCGCCGTATTCACCCCGAGTTGGACCCCTCAAAGGCGACCGTTGAGACACTGCCAAACGCAAAGATGGCCGTAGCCCACTACGGGTGTTGGGCTCATAAGGGTGACCCCCAAGGTCGGAACATTTGGCCAACGAAGGATTCCCTCATTGGTCGCATGGATACTCGAGAGATGTGCTTACGACTTTTTCCCCGGTTTGCCAAGGCTGTGTTCGGCAAGACATCCTCGATCATCCGCTTCCTCGTCCAGCCACTGGATGAAGGCTACTATCGAGAATGTCTTGAGGTATTCGAAAATTTGCCTAATGATGCCAGACTACCAGTTGGCGAAGAAAACTGGATCAGCCTTTTTGCGCTTGGCATCAATGGCTACACTCAGCGTCACAGGGATGTTGGCGATATCCAAGGAGGTCTCGCTGGGCTGTTCACGCTTGGGCGCTACAAAGGTAAGAGCCAAAGACCAGAAAAGTAATTGGTAGCTGACTTGCGGTTCCATAGGAGCAAACTTATGTGTTCCACAATTGGGCGTGAAAGTCAGGTATGCTCCCGGAGCCTGTGCAATCGTTCGGGGTAATGGCTTGGATCATCTCGTTCAAGACTACTCCGGCCCAAGATTCTTTGTCATCGGCACCAATCATGAGACATGCAAGAAACATGCACTGAGAAAACTTGGAAGATTGCCACCACTACCACCCAGATCGTTGAAGCGGAAGAGCTCGCTAAACGGTCAGCAAACAACAGGCGAGCAGGAGCAGGAACTTGAGAGCCCTTGTATCAATTTCCGAACTGATGATTCTGATGAGGCTGAACGGACTTGGACTAACGAATTAATTCATGGACCAGCTGTGCTTCAAAGCCGCGGGAGTGGTTCAGGCTCATCTAATTGAGTGCGACTTGTTGTCCTCGCTTTGGTATGATCGGCATAGAGCATCACTGGTTCAATAGGTAGGATAAGGGGCCATATGAACATCGGAAAATAGTACTTCGTCACAATGCATGTTGGCGCTCTACCATTGTATGAAGAATATTGTATTATAAGGTGGGAGAATGCTATAGACTTTCAGATAGCATTTGAGCAACTCTGAGCCCACTCCCACTACTTGCTATTTCGACCTTGTCGTCCATGCGTCATAGATAATTTCTTGTACGTCTGCTGCCTTCCACTGTAGATACCACTGGATTTTGATTTCATTCAATGTACCAGGCCCTTATCAATTCTGATTCGCACTTCGTTCCAATAATCTAATCTTTTCATCTCGCGGAGTTTCTTCCCCCATTTTACCATGACAAGAAACACAGCACATATCGTTAATCCTACGAATGCTACGCTTACGAAGCAATTCTGAGTACCCAATCCATCTAGCCATGGTGTTATGCCATAACCAATGGCAAAACTCATGGTGTTTCGGATGATAATGCACGAGGCCAAAGCATCGCCTGCAAGATCACGATAAGAGTCAACGAGATAGGAGACGGAAAGCGTGACTCCGGCACCATTGCAGATTGCAATCATACAAAGAGCAAATAAGAGGCCAAACCAATGTATCTCATGAGCAGCGCCTACTCCCCACAGGATGGACCCAGCAGGGAGTATGATTGTTGTTGCAGCAAACAGCCAGAGCCGTTGTTCAGGTTCGAATATTCCCTTGTTCTTCCGAGCAAGGCGAATAACAAACCAGTCCGAGAAAACACCAGTAAACACCGATGCAATGGTAACGCCAATGATGCAAGATATATAGCTCAACCCGACGATGCTTGGCTTGAAATTGTATGGCTGACCGCCGAGTATCAGGGAGGCCGTTGCATTCAAGATGTTGAACCACACCAGGTAGCTTCCATAGGAGAACCCAGAATAGAAAACGACCGGCCAGCTAATGAGCTTCAGGATTTGCCATATACGCCAATGCATCATGAACGGTCGCGGCTTATCGATAAGAGCAAGCTTCTGCCAGTACGTTTTCCTTTTGAAGATAACCGAGTCTCCTGAAATTACAGGAGCATGACCACTACTGGTCACCTTCTCTCCCGTCTTGTCTTCAGGAATCGGTAGCTGGGTCAGCGCTGTTCCATTCTCCTCATCATTCCCTGCCGGTGGATTGATTGCCACAACGCCAACAGTGCTTCTGTCAAAATTTGTCTCTTCCATGAAGAAGAACAGAAAAATAGTTGTGACCCCGCAGAAAATGGCTTGAAAGAAGAAGGCCCATTTGTAGCCTACGCCGTCGTTTATGAACCCTGTAATGACAGGTGCGAAGAAATTCGACGATGCTAGCGTCCACGCATACCAGCCCATGTAAGTTCCGCGTTCATGCGCAAAATATATATCAGTGATAGAGGTTTCAGGTAGCGATTCGATAGGGGCTGCGACAAACCCGCAAACAATACATCGCGCAATCCATTGTCCACTTCCCCTCGCATAAGGACTCCAAATTGTTACAGCCTGTATGTTTGATTTAGTCTCGGTTTCGATATCAAAAAGAAGTCGGGCTCACAGTTAAAGCAACCAGGGAGATCAGATATGTGAACCGTTTCCCATATTGTAGGGCAAATGGCTGCCAGAATAGCAATCCCCAACCAAGTAGCAGGAACATATAGCCTGTGCCCTCATTGAGATTACCGACTGTATTAGATTAACATCGAATTTCTCGAAGAAGACTTGACTATCTCACCGCTAACATCTAAGGCACTGGATAAGGGTACTAATACCGAATATACCACAGATAAAGCCATTCCGTTGAACCACGTATAACTAGAGAGTCAGATACAATAGGTGTACGAGATAGCTAGATCCAAACTTACAGCATTATACACAAGAGCGCGAGGCGCTTCCTCCCAGGAGACCAGTTCAAAGGATCATCCGGGTCTGCTGACGGCGTGGGCACGAGAATAATATCATGATGACCCTTGACATGTCGCGTGGCAATTGACTCCTCGAGATCCACCAACTGTACAGTTCCCGGTACTTGAGATTCATCGATATTGTCGTGCGCGTCGGATAGCTGACCGCGTGAAGCCATTATTGATCTTTCTAGGTACTTTTTTTAGGCGTACTTCCTGCTTTTATAATATGTTTTGAATTACAGTATCTGGGGCTGAATTTCATTTTCCCTCTGTTGAGCAATTCACGTGCTATAAGTACGACGTCTGTGCAACTCTGATAGGCAATGTTGATAAGCATGCATTCAAGCAGAGAATACAACATGAAAGCTGTGGAGCTGTCGGACATCATGTGGTTGGACAACGGCTCTTGTCCTTCATTTTGGTGTCGATCCTAGCCAGCATTGGCGATGGTTTGCAGATACTCGGATGGACTTTCCGAAAACACACCATGCTATAGCGGCTATGATAAGACAGTCACATCAAATTTCGCAGGAGCCACTCACACAAACTACCCATCAGGAGCTTATCTTGAACATTCTCGTCCGTTCGTTAAGAGGAGATTAACACTGCTCGTTTCATCGGAAATATCGATTAATACCTCACGCCTAGACATGATAGAGATCCTACAAAGGCAAAGAGAATCTAGACGTGACGCGGCGGTGTCACACCGCTGTTAAGAATCTCTTATCTTTCACGTGATATTCAAGAACTAATCTCGAGACTCTGATGAGTTGCTCATGGCCGTTGATATCTATAAACAGCCACTTTGACTAGGGATACTGAGTAACATTCACCTTTATACGAAACAATGTAGCACATAAATAGTCAAAAGAATATCGCTAACGAGAGGGCTTAACATTATACTATTAGACTACCAATCTCCGAAGAACCTGAAATGTACCATCTGTTGCACAACTGTCTTGACGAAGACGTCTGTATATCAAAAGGCAGCTATACCAATAGCTGCTACAACTGCAACAGCGAAGGGGGTTGGTGCCACAATACTTCCCCTACCAGGCTGTGTAGTAGTTGATATTGGAGTTGCGGAGGGCAAGCTGGTCGATGTCACGGGGCCTGTAGCTATACTGGTCGGCGAGGAAATGGAAGAGCTTGAGTCTGGATTGCCCTCGTTCAACTCGGCAGATAATGCGAACCTTGACGAGTAATTGATTACGTCCTGGTCCTTTAGGTATGTGACCATAATCCAATAGTTGTCGCCTGCGCCCAATGAGTCTCCAATCTGCCATATGTATGAGACCTCGTTGGTAGCGACACTTTCTGTTGACGCGTGTTAGCATCATAGATGAAAACCCGACATGCCTCTGAAATGGATTGATGAAGATGCACTTACCAGCGATGAGAATAGGAGTTGCAAGCTCGTCTAAGCTATCCCCACGGACTAAACTGATTCGCATATGACCGGGATAATAGGCCGCACCATAATCCCATTTGATAGTGAAATTGGACCCAATTTGAATTGTGTCCCCTTTTGGGTTCAGTAATAGGTTCAAAGTCCTTGATAATTTTCGGCTCTGCAAGACTTGGAGGGATGAGGCTGAGGAGAGCCACAGTAAAAGTCTTGAAGTGCATTCTTCAGTGTGCGAGGTTTGCTCGTGGCTGACGGACTAGACTGATCTGGAGATGTAATTTAGGTATGAATCAATGAAGTAATTTGGCGAAACTGTGAACCGTTCAAACAAGTTGTGGCAGCTTGTGGTTGAGATTATATATTGTTGCCTCGCGAACAAGTAAGCCCCGTCTGACACATAGCTCAGGGTTCAGGGGAACTTTCAACAAGAGTTTTTACCAGTAGACAACGATCGGATGACTGTGGCTGTGTCTTTTCAATGGATCAAACTCCTTACAGATAAGATGATTGGCAACGTATGCACATCCTAGGTAATGCCCCAGTGTATTTTCAGTCGTGCATGAAGTCGAGCTGGTGCCGAGCTCGGGTCGAGCCGACAAGCCGTAACTAAGCCATATCCTCCCCTCAGTATCCCATCGATGGGGAGGAGTAGTCGGGCTATGTCTGTGTTTCGTAAAGGAGACAGGGGAAGGACTTTCTCCTTGAAGAGCTCCCCAAAAAAAGTAATTTCGACCTTACATCCCTCATGTCAGCTTCAAGGCGAGGGCGTTCTTGTCTCGAGGCCCCAATTGGTGATCTGAATGACGCTGTTTGTGGTTCGCTACCCAACTGAATAGAAAACCTGACCATTACTGCGTGAAATAATTCCCTGATGTAGAATTTTACCTCCACAAGGTTAAGACAATTGATCTATGCGAAATGCAGGGCCTCGTCGAACTCGCACCAGGACAACCAATTACGACT